CTACTGTAATTGTTAACACAAGCATACAGTCAATCTGCAGGATTGCAGTAGTAAGTAGGAATTTCCCAATCTTGGTGAGAAAGATAAGCTTTCATTAAACCCTTCAGCAGATTATTAGAGAAAGATTAAAAATTCAAATTTTTTATTGTGGTCTTAGAAGATATCACTTATTTTAAGATATGTTCAATCCTGAATTAGTTTTGAAATTTTGCATATTAAGGTATTTATATCAGTTTGCCTGAATGACTCATTAACTAAAAATCTAAAAACATAGAAAATGCAAAGTAAATTCACCGCAGTTTAATTGAAAATATCTTGGAGACCAGTTCCATTATTAGTTTGCAATTTGTAGAATATATATATAATCAACAGAAAGACTTGATAGCATAAAGGTTGAAGCCTAAATAGCCAAAACTAATTTTGCATTACATGATCCCTTTATCTGGCTGTTTAGGTTTCAATCACTTCTGTGTTTGAGTATATTCGATCATTTGCTAATCAACAATTACGTATGTAATTTATAATAAAATATTTATTTTACTATTCAATAAAATAAATGAAAAACTATTCAATAAAATAAATGCTATTCAATGTTACTATGTAAACTGGAGCAAAAAAAAAAAAGTAAAGTTGCTTGTATTGATTTTTCCATTTGAGAGCAGTAAGCTACTTCCTGGGTTAAAGTGTACTAATATTTCATGCATTTATTTACTTTTCTATATTTTGTCACCAGGGCTTAGGGCTTGCTAGAATTCCCTTTCGTTTATCTTGTTATAGTTGAATTTTTGGGTATTTGAAAAGAAAATTGTATACAAAATGTCTGCTGGGAAAGCCCCCAATAGCATCGTTATAATGGAGGAGGATGAAGAAGGGAGCAAAATCTTGCGGAAAATCAAAGAAAGTCCACACATGGTGATCGGTAAGTGGTCAAGCTTGTTCTGAATAGAATTTAAGAAAGTCCACTCATAATGGTTGGTAAGTTGTCAAGCTTGTTCTGAATAGTAATTTCTTATAATTTCCTCTTATTAATGACAAATTTCTGCAATGACTATATCTTAGTTGTATGTGATGATTTACTGGAAACATTTATTCTATTTGCTGCTGCCATTGATTTTAAATTATTTGTAGTAAAACAAAACTCAATGTTTTGTTGCCAGCCTGATGCCTAATAACCTAAGGGTGACTGAGTTATCTACGATTTATGTTATTCTTAGGCCTTGCTGCAGTTTCATGGCTATCTGAAATATTAATATATCCTCTATTATTCGACAGGCATGGTTGGTTGGTGTGGCGTTGTGGCATATGGCCTGTATGGCATCAAGAAAAGGAAGCAGCCACTCGGCATCCACCTCATCCATACTCGTGTCATCGCCCAGGCCTGCGTGGTTGGCATGCTCTCTTTCGGTGTTGGCTACCAGATTATCACTGAGCACATCGTGCCCTGGTATAAGAATAAGTTCTCTTCTGATGCACCTTCTAAATAATTATGTGTATAATTGGTTTATTTGAACTAATTCATACTGTGGATTTATTAGAATGTACAGACAAGGTTAATGATGTTCAGCTAGCGTAATTGATTGTAAAAACTTGTTTAGTTGTTGTTTATTTGTGCTTATACGTTCTTATTCGATGAGAAATTCCAAGTGAAAACTTTAAGTTTATATTATTACTCCGATGTTAATAAAGTCATATGAAGGTAGTGCTGATTCATGATCAAGCTTCATTTATGTAGGTGCATACTTTGTTACTGAAGAGAAATTATTTTATCTGCCGCCAATCGTGATTCATCTTTCATTATTCGTGTTATTTATGTGCATATGTTCACGTCTAAGTGCTATTTAAGGTGGAAACGTGTACACCAACGTCTTGAACATCAACCTGAATGAACTCAGTATAATATCTCAGTATAATATTTTATAATTTATTGAAATTATCTGTTGAAAGTACTCGTGAACTCGCAACTTAAAGCTCATCCAGGAAAGTTTGGTGATCTCTCAGTGTGTCTGTAAAATGCTGCATCAGAGCAGGGGTAGCTCAATAGTTATTATAAAGACTACAAAACTGACGTGAATATATTCATGACGTGAATATATTGTCTCATTGCCCTGTCTGCTGTCAAGGGCGTGACATCGCACTGCAGTCCCAACATGCTTTATTAGCATAAGTTTAACTCTGTTTGATTAGCATTTATTTGCGATTAATTGAATAAAGTTTGAAATAAATTTGGTTTTATATGAATTTACCAAAAATATGCTACAAATTAGTACCATGACGAACCTGTACGACTTTTTATGTGAGGGGGAAGGGAGAATGCGAATCTGTCGAATTGGCTCTAACAAAATGTTTTTGTCATAAGATTGTATTCATCACTATACGATGTACTCATCAAGTGGTTAGTAGAGACACTCGTACCTGAACCTCGCAAGTCAATCTTATCTTTCGGGTATTGTCAAGCAAGCTCAGTTCCAGATGTGCGTTGCTTGTGAAGAATTGGTTCCTAAATCGTACCATGGAAGCCTCTCTTTGAAATAATTGGATTTATCAAATGGGTAGTGAAGATGGTTGTACTTATTAATGCGCGGAGCTTATTGGTGTTACTAAAGTGTTTACAATTGTCTGTAAAGAAGACATTGCTTGAGCTGTGTTTTAATAACCTCCATATTAATGTTGATATTTACTAGCTGCGACCATTCAGTAACATCGGTACTAAACCATCTTTCAACTGAGTAACTCTTGTATCAGGCATCTATAGGTACGAAATGCATTGGTTCTATTGCCTTATAGCATCGCTTAGCGTGAAGACTATTTTATGACGACGAATAGAACACGTTACCGCAAGGGGTGAGTGACGGCCGGTTCCTGAAGGTGGGAAGACGACGGTGAACTCACAAGGGTGTTGGGCGCCCTCGGTCCCTGTGCACTGTACTAGCTATAGGCAGCGCCTGCGCCCTACAGGCAGCACCTGCGCCATACAGGCAGCACCTGCGCCATACAGGCAATCCTTATCGGTTTTACAACAAATGTAGTCGTCCTTAGAATCTAAATATCAAGTGTCATGATGCCGTATAAGTAGCTACTTGTTGTGACTGAAATGCTTTGAACGTTGCATCCACTTGGCATGTGTACTGGTGTGCATCTTCATGCATTCATTGAATGCGTAAAAATATGTAGTTTCAAGACGTTCGTATAAAAAGAGCAAGTTCTTCAAAATGGAAATTTTTCGCGCGCTAGTTTTTGTGCCTTGATTTAACGTCGGGGCTTCCCGAGCGCACCAGTCTATTCAGCATTTTTTGTGCGTTATAACCTGTTTTTGCCTTCATGAGGCTCAGGTTATCCCGCCAGCTGTCCGGAATATTGCGCTGAAAATCAAAACAATCTACAACTTATTTACGATTGCCACCATCAGACTCGCCTGGCTGCTTCACAATCTCCCGAATATGATTCACAATTTCATTATCGCTGTTCACTATCTTCCTGAATTTCCTGGGATTTTATCACTGCTGCCACATTGTTTAGCCGGGCGTTTTCGGCTGAATTCAGCATTAGTCCAACAGAGTTGGCCTCCTGAAATATACTCCGTAAACTTGATGTAATTTTTATAAAGACCATGTAATCATAGAAAATAAATTGTTTCACTTCAGCTTATCGAATTTACTCTATAAGGAACTGTGGCCGTTGTTGGTCTTTTTGGGCTGATTTTGCCGTTTTTTTTTTTTTTTGCAACCGTGCTTGAGTCGCGCGTGTAAGAGCTAGTAGCGCATTTAGGCCTTGTAGTATTGTGATCAAATATTACAAAAAACTGTATTTTCGTGGAGTTACTTGAAATAAACTTTGCCGAGAGCGATGAGTGTCTCCGTGTTGCTGCCAGCGCCACCAGGATAAGTCGTTTGTGTGGGGATTCACAGGGAACATTGGCAAGGTCATCACAGATATCACATGCCTAAGCAAGCATTTGACGTGCCGTCTTTACGTAAGTTTTGTACAGGGAATATATATTTCCTCATTACTTTTGTGTGATAATGCACGTCACTGTCATACCAAGGAACAGTGTACAGTAGATAACTAGCATTTCGTTATCAATTATCATTTCCTCACACGATCTATTTGTTGCGAGGAGTTTAGGTATGGCATTTATATAGTAGGTTCATTAGTCGACCGCTAGCCGCCGAGTCGTGCGCGTCGATTGAGTCAGCGCTGACCAGAGGCTGCTCGCTTTTTTCAGTGGTGTGATGTTATCAAGAGACAGGCCTAATGACTACATTTATTGTGATATGGGACAGAAGTCCCGGAGAATTCTTATAAAAGTTTTGTGACGAAGCTTATAGGATTGGCACAATATTTAGCAAAAGCGGCAGGGTAAACAGAAAGTGCTGCGAGCAGTTTATCGTGTTGCTAAGAACGCGACCGGTGGCACAGTTTTGAAGTCATTCCAGACGCAGATTACTGGGAAATGTGCTGTATTTGTGAGATTATGTGTGTCGAGATTATGCTTAATTATTAAATCAAGAATTATTTTATGGAGACCAAATCATCGCTGCATTATAGCAATGCCTCTCGGGTCTGTTCCTGATACCTAGTCGGGCGCGAGACCGATTTAATTTTTTTTCTCGATAGCCATTCAAAATTAATGTACCATAAAATTAGGTTTCCCTTTGATTATTTCATATTTTAAATTAATGAGGTTAATGCCTGAAAGATTATTCCTCACACTTATTTGTCGTCTTCGTGTAGTCGCCCGACGCTTGGTAAAGTGATCGAGGTTTTGTTCCCGTTGACCTGTCCTGTCTTGTGTCTGAGGTGCCAACCGTGCCATTCACGGCAGCTATTGCGCCACTGACTTCGATGCTCGATGTATAATTTGTTTATTTTACAAGATTTGTGATGGAAATTGTTTAGCAATATTTTTATTCACATTCGAAGTTTTTCATTAGATAATATCAATTTCATTTGTACCGGAATAAATTGTGTAACTTTTTCCTTATGTTATGCTATTTGTGAGCTTTCAACGAATCGATTACGAACCAGTTTAATTTGCCGGTTTAATACAAAAAATTCCCAAGATCTCTTGAAATACACAGCAGTCAAATGACCAAGCAGTAGAGGAATATATTTTTATCAATTTTCAACTCGGTTGAGCAGAGTACAGGGAATATATATTTATTTATCTTCGAAGAGGTAGAACACATTACATGATTACAGGAATATTAACTTGATCTTCAACGCGGTTGAGCACACTACAGGAATATATCCACAGTAGGATATTGCCATGGCGAAGACGAGTGAGCGCTACGACCTGGTGGTGTACGGGGCGACGGGCTACACGGGCCAGTTCGTGGCGGAGGAAGTAGCCCGTGTGGCTCAGCTGGAGAAAGAGAAGCTGGGCTCCCAGACCGAGACTCTGACGTGGGCCGTCGCCGGCAGGAATAAAGATAAGCTCGTCAAGACCATCGAAGACGCCCGCCGCGAGACCGGTGAGTCGGGCAGGCGAAGGTTTGCTAAGACATGTTCGGGCAGGAGAAGGTTCGCTAAGACATGTTCGAACCGGCCACAGGTTCGCTAAGACATGTTCGAACCGGTCACTGGTCCGCTAAGACATGTTCGAACCGGACACAAGTTCGCTGAGACATGTTCGAACCGGCCACAGGTTCGCCGCTCTCAGCTGAGGCTCCCAAAATTACAACAGAAAGTGAGCAGATAAACTCTGGCGACTGCGATAGACGTTATTGACTCACTCGGTTATCACACTTATAGCTTATAAACTTTATACTCATAATCTTACTCCATGCTTGTTTCGAGTTAATTGACGCTCTATACATTCTATCTTCCGTATTCTCACACACTACCAAGTAATGTCAAATAATTCACACGATGTCTGGCAATGGACGTTACTTCAACCTAACTAACTAGCCTAATTTTTATTCCCAATAACCCACCCCAGGCCTGCCACTCGACGACGTCGGCATCATCGTGGCCGACGTGAGTGACGTCTCGTCGCTAGACAAGATGACGTCGCAGGCACGGGTCGTCATTAACTGCGTCGGCCCGTACGTCAAGTACGGCGAGCCCGTCGTCAGGAGCTGCGTCGAGCAGGGCGCCTGTCACGTCGACATCTCGGGTGAGCCGTTGACAGCAATATTGTCTTGACAAGTCGTGCAGTAATTTGAGAACAGCAATATTGTCTTGACAAGTCATGCAGTAATTTGAGAACAGCAATATTGTCTTGACAAGTCATGCAGTAATTTGAGAACAGCCATATTGTCTTGACAAGTCGTGTAGTAATTTGAGAACAGCCATATTGTCTTGACAAGTCGTATAGTAATTTGAGAACAGCCATATTGTCTTGACAAGTCATGTAGTAATTTGAGAACAGCCATATTATCTCGACAAGTCATGTACCAATTTGAGAACAGCCATATTGTCTCGACAAGTCATGTAGTAATTTGAGAACAGCCATATTGTCTTGACAAGTCGTGTAGTAATTTGAGAACAGTAATATTGTCTTGACAAGTCGTGTAGTAATTTGAGAACAGCAATATTGTCTTGACAAGTCGTGTACGTAGTGATTTGAGAACAGCCATATTGTCTTGACAAGTCGTGTACGTAGTGATTTGAGAACAGCCATATTGTCTTGACAAGTCGTGTACGTAGTGTTTTGAGAGCAGCCATATTGTCTTGACAAGTCGTGTAGTAATTTGAGAACAGCCATATTGTCTTGAATAGTCTTGTAGTAATTTGAGGAAAGCCATATTGTCTTGACAAGTCGTGTAGTAATTTGAGGACAGCCATATTGTTTTGACGAGTCGTGTAGTAATTTGAGGACAGCCATATTGTCCTGACAAGTCGTGTAGGTAGTAATTTGGAAACGGCCGTATTGTCTTGACAAGTCATGTAGTAATTTGAGAACAGCCATATTTTTTGACAAGTCGTGTAGGTAGTAATTTGAGAACAGCTATATTGTCTTGACAAGTCGTGCAGTAATTTGAGAACAGCCATATTGTCTTGACAAGTCGTGTAGTAATTTGGGAACAGCCATATTGTTTTGATAAGTCGTGTAGTAATTTGAGAACAGCCATTATGTCTTGACAAGTCATGTAGTAATTTGAGAACGCCATATTGTTTTGACAAGTCGTGCAGTAATTTGAGAACAGCCATAGTGTCTTGACAAGTCGTGTAGTAATTTGAGACCAGCCATATTGTTTTGACAAGTAGTGTAGTAATTTGAGAACAGTCATATTGTCTTGACAAGTCATGTAGTAATTTGAAAACAGCCATATTGTTTTGACAAGTCGTGTAGTAATTTGAGAACAGCCATATTGTTTTGACAAGTCGTGTAGTAATTTGAAAACGGCCGTATTGTCTTGACAAATCGTGCAGTAATTTGAGAACAGCCATATTGTATTGACAAGTCGTGCAGTAATTTGAGAACAGCCATATTGTTTTGACAAGTCGTGTAGTAATTTGAGAACAGCTATACGTATTGTCTTGACAAGTCATGTAGTAATTTGAGAACAGCCATATTGTTTTTACAAGTCGTGCTGTAATTTGAGAACAGCCATATTGTCTTGACAAGTCGTGTAGTAATTTGGGAACAGCCATATTGTCTTGACAAGTCGTGCAGTAATTTGAGAACAGCCATATTGTTTTGACAAGTCGTGTAGTAATTTGAGAACAGCTATACGTATTGTCTTGACAAGTCATGTAGTAATTTGAGAACAGCCATATTGTTTTTACAAGTCGTGCTGTAATTTGAGAACAGCCATATTGTCTTGACAAGTCGTGTAGTAATTTGAGAACAGCCATATTGTTTTGACAAGTCGTGTAGTAATTTGGGAACGGCCATATTGTCTTGACAAGTCGTATAGTAATTTTAGAACAGCCATATTGTTTGACAAGTCGTGTAGTAATTTGGAAACGGCCATATTGTCTTGACAAGTCGTGCAGTAGGTAATCTGAGGATTGCAACTTAATCTCAAAAAATCTAGTATAACCTGGAAAACAGTTATTTAAAATTGATAACTCGCTTGTGAATAAATATCATCACATATGTAAGGAGCACTTTTATTCAGAATGATTAAATTTCAGAAGAGCTTCTGTTCTTTAATTGAATTGAAATAAATAATTGACAACGCCTGCAACTGTTCCCTCAGGCGAGCCCGTGTTCCTAGAGGGCATGCAGCTGCGCTATGACGACCTGGCCAGGGAGAAGGTGAGGGTAGCGTGCGTGTGAGGGTAGCGTGCGTGTGAGGGTAGCGTGCGTGTGAGGGTAGCGTGCGTGTGAGGGTAGCGTGCGTGTGAGGGTAGCGTGCGTGTGAGGGTAGCGTGCGTGTGAGGGTAGCGTGCGTGTGAGGGTAGCGTGCGTGTGAGGGTAGCGTGCGTGTGAGGGTAGCGTGCGTGTGAGGGTAGCGTGCGTGTGAGGGTAGCGTGCGTGTGAGGGTAGCGTGCGTGTGAGGGTAGCGTGCGTGTGAGGGTAGCGTGCGTGTGAGGGTAGCGTGCGTGTGAGGGTAGCGTGCGTGTGAGGGTAGCGTGCGTGTGAGGGTAGCGTGCGTGTGAGGGTAGCGTGCGTGTGAGGGTAGCGTGCGTGTGAGGGTAGCGTGCGTGTGAGGGTAGCGTGCGTGTGAGGGTAGCGTGCGTGTGAGGGTAGCGTGCGTGTGAGGGTAGCGTGCGTGTGAGGGTAGCGTGCGTGTGAGGGTAGCGTGCGTGTGAGGGTAGCGTGCGTGTGAGGGTAGCGTGCGTGTGAGGGTAGCGTGCGTGTGAGGGTAGCGTGCGTGTGAGGGTAGCGTGCGTGTGAGGGTAGCGTGCGTGTGAGGGTAGCGTGCGTGTGAGGGTAGCGTGCGTGCGAGGGTAGCGTGCGTGTGAGGGTAGCGTGCGTGTGAGGGTAGTGTGTGTGTGAGGGTAGCGTGCGTGTGTGACAGTAGCGTGCGTGTGTGAGGGTAGCGTGCGTGTGAGGGTAGCGTGCGTGTGTGAGGGTAGCGTGCGTGTGAGGGTAGCGTGCGTGTGAGGGTAGCGTGCGTGTGTGATGGTAGCGTGCGTGTGTGAGGGTAGCGTGCGCGACACTCTGTGTACGGCCACATTTATTGCGTTTATTATCAATTATTAATCTTTAGTTTTGGCGGCGGGAGGAAGTGAGCTTTTGAAAGTAAATTCGAATTTAATGTTGTTCGTCACGTAATATATAATGACGTTACCGTATGTAAACAATATAGGTAGGTTGTATTAGGTTGTCAAATTTTTAAACGTGTGTTAAGACTGGGTCAACGAATTAGGGTTAATTTAAATCTTGATTTTAATATTTGAATTTTTACGTTCAATTTTGCGTAAATATTTTTCAAGGTTGGTGAAAACTGAGAAGAATTGTCAATTTTTACTTCAAAATTCAACAAAAAGGCAGTTTCACCTTTAAACTTTACAGAATATTGAACACCATAAATAAATATGTATTTATATGGCGTATTTTGTGGCGTGTTATAGGGCGTGTACATCGTGGGGGCGTGTGGCTACGACTCCATCCCTGCTGATGTGGGGGTGGCTTATCTCGATAAGCAGTTCCCAGGTGAGGCTTTAACATCATCCCTGCACCATTACCTAGTAGGGTACTAATGAGAAGCAGTGAGAAGTGTACTAATAAGTAGGGTACTAATGAGAAGCAGTGAGAAGTGTTTCATGCACTTGTTGAGTGAACGCTGGGATGAACGAAGATTTTAGGAAAGAATGTATGAGGATAGGAAAACTTTGTGCGTTTAATCTGACGAGTGACGAACGACGTCACATTTGCAATATGCAAACTCATAAGTTGATTCGATTTATTGAATGAACAATTCTTCACTTGCACTGCACTATTTTCTCGTAGCCACAAACTAACGCTTCTCAATTTACGGAATTCTTTCCGGTTACGATACTTGATGCTTGTTAATTTTTAGAAAACCTCGAACTTTTCTATGGTTCTTCCAACTTTTTTTGTATCACAGATTTGCTCTACTGGTTTCCTGTACATTTTGGTTTAATTCTTCTAAGTTTTGGTTGCTATTTAATAATTTAATAACAACAAGGTGGCCCAGTGGTTAAAGTTCAGAGTACCAAGATTGGAGCAGAGAGGCGCGGGTTCGATCCCAGCTCTGTGCGCCAGTTTCTGGTCAGAATCGGCGAGGAGGCCGGGCGGTTAAGCACAGCAGAATTGTAGCAGTGAGTTGCGAGTTCGAGACCGCAAAATGCTGTGAAAGTTCTGTGATGTTTAGAATCGGCGACAGGCCTACGGCCTACTAAACGCTGAAACCGCTATCACCCGCCTGTCGCCATACTAACCCACTTCCACCTCACGCTCTTTCACGAGCCCACTGCCCCCCGTGAAGCGCCCCCACCCCCCGCAGGTGGGCTCAACTCAGTCGAGATGTACACGAGAAGCACGGGGCCCACCGCCCCCGTGCACACGGGCACGCTGGAGTCCGCCGTGGGCGTGGTCACGGACATGCGCGCGTCCTCGCAGCTGCAGCGGCAGCTCTTCCCTCAGAAGCTCCCCTCACCCACCTACCCTCTGCCCCACAGGTGAGGGTGTCACGGGTGTACAGTGTCGCGGGGTACCGTGTCACGGGTGTACCGTGACGGCACCACAGGTGAAGGTGTCACGGGTGTACCGTGTCACGGGTGTACCGTGACGGTACCACAGCTGAGGGTGTCACGGGTGTACCGTGACGGCACCACAGGTGAAGGTGTCACGGGTGTACCGTGACGGCACCACAGGTGAGGGTGTCACGGGTGTACCGTGACGGCACCACAGGTGAAGGTGTCACGGGTGTACCGTGACGGTACCACAGCTGAGGGTGTCACGGGTCTACTGTGATGGCACCACATGTGAGGGTGTCACGGGTCTACTGTGATGGCACCACAGGTGAGGGTGTCACGGGTGTACCGTGACGGCACCACAGGCGAAGGTGTCACGGGTGTACCGTGACGGCACCACGGGTGAGTCTCCGAGGGTATCATTTGTTCATCGTAATTTCAGGTAAGTTATTCGGTTATAACTCCAGGGAAAAGGCTTCACTGATACCTTAAATAAATACTAATTTGTGCTAATTTCTTGCCTTATTACTTGTCGGAACGCGGGGCTAGAGTGCCTGCAGCACGTGTTTTATCATCCTAATATTTACTCACCTTTCGTCTATATTCCTATACATATCGTTCAAATTTTTCCTATATATCATTCAAGTCTATTTTTTATAACTGGACATTCGCTTCTTATTCGCTAATTGCATGTTGCACAGCTTATTGAACACTTACGAGTTATGTTCCTTGTATTCTCTTTTATATGTGAAGTCTTCCTGATGTCAACAAGTCCTTCGGGACTTGGTTCTTATTTCCTCCTTCCTCCTTTAACGAGTTCATAATAAAGTTTAGAACTACGTTACAATGTAACTAGTTTTCCAATTAGGTTGCCAACTAGTTTTCCAACTAGGCTGCTCACTAGGTTTCTAACTTGGTTACCGACTAGATTTTCAACTAGGTTGGCTGTTAACTAAGTTAACGACTACATTTTCACCTAGGTTGCTAAGTTATCGACTAGGTTTCCAACTAGGTTGCGTCCCTTAGTTGGGGTTGCTAACTAAGGGACTAGATGCTAACTACCGACTAGATTTTCTACTAGGTTGGTTGCTAACTAGGTTACCGACTAGGTTTCCAACTAGATTGCTAGCTAAGTTACCGACTATATTTTCAACTAGTTTGCTAACTAGGCTTCCAACTAAGTTGCTAAGTGGGTTGCAAACATGGTTTTTTCAACTAGGTTGCGAACCAGGTTTACAATCAGGTTGCCAATTAGGTTGCAAACAATTTCTTCAACTATGTTGGTTGGCAACTCGTTGATTCGTTGGGATACGGTGTTCGGACCTGCAATGTAGCTGTGGCAGTGTAAGTTGTCATCGATCATTTTGGTACGCCTTCATTGAGACATGAGAATTACGTGAAATTTATTGATTGTTTTACTTACTAGAGGAAATATATTTTGATCGTGTTCTGCGTCGGAATTTTGGAACGTATTGCACGAGTTGAAATGGTATTTTGGACAGCTTGGTCAGGTCAGTGTAATGTTCTTGTAACGCCTTTGGCTATGCAAACGTGATTTTTATCACCTCTAATCGAGACAAATTTTATTTATATATGTCTCTGACCGAACGATAGTTTGATGCAATCAGCAACAAGCTGGGCTGATATTTTATCATCTATCACATATTTTCTTACCCCGTAAATTTATTCTCGCATTCGAGTTAAATGAATAATGCAAGTTGTTTGCTATAGGTACATTTTTCCCCTCGGAAACCGTACACTCAGAGAAATGAGTGAGACTTTGTTCAAATAGCAATGCACGTTTTGTTCTTGTGTGGGTAAACCTGACCCAGTTTGGCCCGCAACAAGGGCGCATCAGTGCTACGTGCGCTCTCAGCTCGCGCTGTGAACAAGATAGTGGCATTATTGCCGACTATGACAGATAGGTTGGTTAGTATATTGGTTGCCAACTATGTTGATTGGCCAATAGTTTGGCTAGTATATTGGTTGCTAACTATGTTGATTGGCCAATAGGTTGGCAACTAGGCAGCATGCATTGACGACATGATGATCATATTTGGACAACATGACCCATTCATTCGCTGAGAGAGCCCCTGTTTGGACCGCTCCACGCAGGCGGCCTCAACTGCTGCGAGGCTTACAACTCTGTCCTCGGGCCTCTCGTGCCCATACACACGACGACCCTCGAATGCAACGCCATCTCCCTCGCCCTCGCCGACCAACATAAGGAACTCCTCGCGCAACTCTACCCTCAGAATTTGCCCTCACCTCGGTTCCCCTTGTCTAAAAGGTGGCAGTAGCCTGAAGCGCTAGTATAACTGCTAACTAAACTTGCTTCCTATATGTGATATATGCATCCAACCTACAAGCCTTCCTATATGTGATATATGCATGCATCCTACAAGTCTATGGCTGAAGAATTGACTTATAAAAACATACAACATAGCGACATTTTCATAAGCATTCGCCTCGGTTTCCTCTTTCTGTAAGAGTTTGCTCTTCGGAGATCTCATTTCATTATCTAGTTTCTAGAGCTAATAAATTCCATCTCTTTTACTCATGTCATGTGAGATTTATACATCTTCCTTATTTTATACGATATACTACGAGTCTCCATATGCGAGTCACGGTGAGATCATGTCCATAATCATGCATCATGTTATTGTGTTAATGGTTTGGTCATTCATTTACACATAACACATTCTCAGCTTTTACATGTTTCAAATAGGCAATAATCAAGCGATGATTCTTGAAAATAGTTTGTGAGTGTTGTAGTTCCTGACGATGTTCCTTCACCAAAATTTTTTCGACATTTCCCGCTGCCGTCAACTTTATGAATTTTCGCTAATAAAAGCGATGAAACAAAACAATTTCTGGCGCGATAACTAATGTTTTACAAGCCGCCACCATTACTATCATTTATTTGAGCTGAACACGAAAGTGTTGGTGAAGGCTGGTAAGTGTACAGGGCAACTCTGTAAATATGGTAAATGCGCCCCCTACCTACTGCATGATGGCGCTTTAATTTGGACTTCTATTAATCTATACTTTGAAATGTTATGATGGTTTGCTATGTCTTGTACTATTCAATGCTGCAACACTTAAGAAAAAAGAATGGCTCATATTGTCCAAATAGTGACGTAGACTTTCTGTCTCTAGCGCTGATGCGCTCCTTTGACGGGGCCGGACTGGGTCGTATGAAGGCAAAAGGTGCATTGCGACTTGGACGAAGTCTCTATAATTTCTGTGAGAGTGTGTTCTTCTCCCCTCTGATATCGAAAAAAATCATTTCTAAAATGAATTTAAAAAAATACATAAAAAACGTATGCATTTTATTACCCAGGTACCTACCCCACAACATAATATTTTCTATTAATAATTTGTCTTTAATGACAATGTCGTCTCTGGGTATTGGCACCCCTCTGATGTCGAGTAAAAAAATCATTTCTAAAATGAAAAAAAAAACTCTACGCAAAAGAAAAACCTATAAATTTTATTCCCAGGTACCCCATCCACTACAACGAAGAACTCAAGTGCTACGGCATCCCGTTCCCCTCGGACATCCCGGTGGTGTATCGGTCGCAGCGCTACCGCCACGACGTCCTGGGGCGCCGCCCCGTCCAGTTCCAGCAGTTCCTGGGCTGGGACAGCTTCTTCCAGGCCCTGGGCATGGCTCTGGGTACTGGGTACTTCTACGCCGTGGGCAGCTTCAGCTGGACCAGGAGTCTTGTTCTGAAGGTGACCACGAGGGGCGTGTGTGTGAGTGCCCTCGTCACGACTACAGGGCAGCGATGCAACGCAGTTTCAACATATTATAGATGTTCAAGCGTATTATTATATTATACATACTACAACATATTATAGATGTTCAAGAGTTCAGTTCCTCGAACAGCGCTGCACTCGTTCAGGAAAACGAAGAATGAACGTACCGAAGTTCATCTTCAAGACATCAACCTAATACTCCCTATTTGTTTTCTCATATACTTTCCATACATCTCTACTTCAATTATTAATTTCCGTAAATTATTTTCATTTATCTTATTTGTCTTCTCATTTACTTTCCATCTCTCCTTAAATTATTAATTCTTATAAATTATTTTCGCTTATCTTATTTGTTTTCTCATTTACTTTCCATCTCTCCCTAAATTATTGATTCTCATAAATTATTTTCATTTGTCTCATTTGTTTTCTTATTTACTTTCCATACATCTTTCCTTAAAATATTAATTCTCATAAATTATTTTCATTTGTCTCATTTGTTTTCTTATTTACTTTCCATACATCTTTCCTTCANTGACGGGGGGCTTCTTCTCCCGCGCGGGGGCGGCTCGTGACGACCTCAAGAAGATGGGCTTCACCACCACCCACATCGGCAGGGGGTGGAGCTCCCCATCAGCAGGGGAGCCTACATCTCCACCAGACTCCACCAAAATACTCAAGGTTATTGGATATGAATTGTTGATGTATGCTTGATATTCATGCAATAACTGTTTCGGCCGAGTCACTCTTCAGATACCGTACGTCTTTATTCTCTCGTTGCCAGGACGTTTCTTGGAAAAATATATGTTTACTACAAATAATTTATCATAGTAGGTCCATACGTCATTAATTATTGATGTTTAGTGGCAACTCGTTCTGACACATGCTGGGTGTTTCGGATGTGTCATTATAGTTAATTATGGAGGTTGTGATGGTATAATGATCATTAATTATTGATGTTTCGTAGTCATTATCATCAAGTATTAATAATTAAGATTTCGGAGGCATAATCATCAAGTATTAACTATTATCAAGTATTAATTATTAATGTATCGGAGTCATTATCATCAAGTAAGGATGTTTGGGTGGCAGATTGTGGGGCCGGACCCCGGGTACGCCGCCACGTCCCTCATGATGGTGGCGGCCGCCATGACACTGCTGAGGGAGAGACCGCTGTGTCACGGACGGTCAGTGAAGTGTAGCGATATGTTCTTGCTGCTGATGTTGATGGTAATATCATAGAGCAGCCCCTGCTGACGTGGTGCTGATATATTGTTATTTCTTATGGCGACTGGAGTGTCAGGAGCGGTTCCAATGGTGGGCAAGGGGAGAGGAGTCACTGGAAGAGGAGGGAGATGAGCACAATGTGGGAGGGGGACAGGGAGGCTGCCGCTTGTACGGGACTGTCCCTTAGTGTGGGGACGCTCAAAATAAGGGGGAAGAAGGGACAGACAAAGAAATGCCGGATGGACTGTGGGCATGCATGGGCTTGGTGAGCGTCTGATCCTAAATGTATAAGATGTTAAGGAACTGCAGTGGCGAGGCCTTATCTGAAACAGCGGCTGTCGTGAGGACAGCCTTCATAGATTATATTTTGAGGACAAGGAGCGATACGAAAGGAAGGATATGAGGGCTGGAGGGCGCTGGCGACGAACTGAGTGCATGCCAGGAACTGGTAGACAGACAGGAGGATCAAGCCTGTCGCAGTGTTGAGGTGCTTGATTTAAGGCATTTTGAGGTAGCTTTTGGCTAACCTGAAGGCCGTGTTCTGAATAATTTAACGGTCATTACGAGGCGATGAGGTAGCAGATGAGGGCTGCGGAGTTGAGGATGGGACGCGAGATGGTCCGGTAGGTGGCAACGATGTCCTTCTTTTACACGCCCCACGTTGCTTTGTTTAAAGATAGTTCCTGCCTTTTTGGCCACGATCTTGGCGTGTGTACTCAATATAGAATGTAATCCATACATACACAAGTTCATTATTGGCATTACCTTGTACTAGACGTCAACGGATGTATTTTGTTCAGTTTTTTACAATAAAGAAATGAGTCATGCCCAACATGACGGTGTCGTTCTCTGTGCAGTGGCGGCGTCTTCACGCCCGGCGTCGCGTTCGCCGACACGAAGATCGTAGAGCGGATGGTGGGGCGGGGGATGACCTTCGAACTTAACGACGTGTGAGAACTTAACGACGTGTGAGAACTTAACGACGTGTGAGAACTTGGCGACGTGTGAGAACTTGGCGACGTGTGAGAACTTGGCGACGTGTGAAGCTTAGCTGAGATATTCATAATAGGAACTGTATATGTGAGGTACAATGATAGTAACATATAAGGTGCATTTTATATTTTTGGTATATTATACAATATAATCATATATTACAATATGTTGAATTTTCTTTAACCTTGATCTGCCACACTTCACGGCAATAATGTACAGAAGTTTCATAGTCAGTATCATGAACGTCGCTCGTGCCTGAAAAATCTAGCGTACCATCGACCCCAACAAATTATTTGTCCCAACTTCATTGCACTGCTCACTGCAGTGCACAGACACCGCAATGAATTGTTACACTGCAATGCAATAGTTAATGATACAGTGATTATATAATCGATAAAATAACCTTCACTGTTATCCGATTATATGATTATGAACGGAAAGAAACAACTTAAAATTACAACGAAAAACGAAAGTAGAATGAATGTCTAAGCAAATAAGCTACTATCGAGAGCAGTACAAGCACCAACCAGCATAAGGTTTTTGCAATTCTACAAATAAAAACTGAGCATAACTTTGAGGGTAATCACAAACCCCAAAATATGAACCCATCAGACAACGCCTGTCGTAACTAAATTCATTGCCAAGTTTCCGAACAGAAAATTCTCATGTCCTCAAGAAAAATTCGTTTGCTTGGCCGACGCATTCGTCCATTTGTTATGTTGAACGCTCTTGTTTCAGTTGAAAATGCAACTGTAATTGAGGTGAAATATTCTAGAGGCGATTCTTACTGCATCGTAAATGAGATAATTTCTTGTAGTGAAGTCAACGTACACTGGTACGGCGGTATGCATGTTGGCGGTAAGCAACGGCACCAGTTAGTATACAATACTTGTATGATGATACATGTGCATATACAATACTTGTATAATGATACATGTACATATAAAATTCTTGCATGATGATACATGTACATATACAATGCTTGTATAATGATCCAAGCAGATATACTACAATAAAGACTGAAATACTTGATGAAATCTAGATAAATTTCACAGTATTAGGAGTAGCAGCACTCGGTGTGATCCTTCAGATATTGAATATTTCCTACACAACTAATAATCTCAATGCTAGGCGTGGACACACTGGCAAAAATAAACGAGTCATATTGTCCAAATAGTAACACGCTTTCTTACCCACAACCCGAGCATAGACAACTCATGTTGCACTCATAGGCCTTTTTTCAGAGCCAGAGTGGGTCAGAATGACCCGCAGAAGAGCAAAGAGTGCATCGCTTTTTAAACAAAGCCTCGCTTATTTCTGTGAGTGTAGGACACGCAGCACGGGCTGCCGTGCGCTCAAACGGTTATTGCTGGCGACTTCATAATAATACCTATTGCACGCTTGCGATTAATTACAATTATACATTTTATGATAAATGAATCTTAGTGTCGGAAAAAAAAATTACCAGCATTAATTAAAATTAATGAAAAAAAGTTGCTGACCACTGGCGATTTGGCCATCGTTTTCTATCAAAATCATCCATCATCCTTGTAACTACAAATCATTTGACTATGTATACAATCATTAAGGAATCAATGGTGCTTAGATTTATCAAAACCTTGCACAAGGCAGGAATATAAATATAATTTGCAGAAGCTCGTCCAAATCCTTCTCTGATGAGAATAAAGAGGAAATGTATGCCATTGAGTTAGAATGATTGTAATTATTTAAACATTCAATGAATGTAATTATTCATTCAATGAATGTAATTCTAGCAACAAATCCAGCAGTTGGAGGTTACCGGCCACTTGAACAACTCATGGTCAGTTGTCGGGGACTCGAGTGCAATTCTTCAAATCTCGAGTGCAAATCTAAAAACCAAATCTAGGCTTAATATCTACATATTAAAAATCTTATGGAATCAACAATTTGCTAGAGTAGAATAGTAATCAACAGCGACGGTTTCATAGTTGGTGGAAAATTAGATTTTTACACTCGTATACCCATAGGGTTAATGATAGCCATATTATGCAGTGAGCAGCAAGGGAACCTCAATAGTGTTTTTTTTGCTGCTTGGGTCATTTTACACACAAAAAAATAAGTGGGAAGGTAGCAATTACTAAAGCTATTCGTGACACATAGGAATTAAATTAAAGTAGAAACAAGACCACATAAAATCTAATAATAATTTATACCTGCCGTCGCACAACAGATTTATCTAACAGCTGTTTCTATTTATTAAGTAATATTAACAATATGATTAGCGCCAGGCTGATTAATTATTAATCCACTCAAATAACCTCTGCACAAACGTCGGTTTAGAGCTCATGTCTCCTGTCGATGTTTGAGGTCTTGCATGACAATGGAAATATGTTGAGCACAAGAATAAATTTTCAAAGACTCATAAATTTCAACTTAAATTACTGAGATAATAATAGAGGTGATCACACCGATGCCTAACTGAGCCAATATTCAGGGTAGAAAGTTCTACTAGGCAAGGTTTTCCCAGACAACAGATGACCTAAACATTAAAAATTTAAATTAAAGTTTTTTCAATAAAGATGCCCCTTTAATTTAATGATTCAATTTTAGATTGCCAACACAAACAGTGCCAAAAATGTTACCAGAAGTAGAAAAAGAGAAGAACTACCATTAGGTTTATGATACAAGCTCACTAATTATTATAAAATCAAACGAACAAAATTCTACACTTGGCCAAAAAAGACTGAGGCGATCAAGAGCCGTCATGCTGCCACACGGCATCTTGATTTACTTCCAAAAGCAGGTTTATTATGTTAATAATAATATTTGATATATTGATAATGTTAACAAGGTCTGGGCAGTAAGACGAAAGCAGGATTTCTTGTATGGAAATAAAGCGGCGCTCACGAGCAGAAAACTGACAAATGACCAGGTTTTGGTCGGGTGAGTTGCAGGGCTTGAGCGCTGTCCTGCCTGTGACAACGTGGCGGTAAATATAAGACGACCTCTTCACTGCAGCAGCACATGGACGACCTCTTCACTGCTGCAGCACATGGACGACCTCTTCACTGCAGCAGCACATGGACGACCTCTTCACTGCTGCAGCACATGGACGACCTCTTCACTGCTGCAGCACATGGAAGAAAAGCTCTAGGACGATGGGGTCGTGGGTGACGGAGGCAGCGGCGCGATGGATGACAGGGACGAGCTCGGCGTCCAGACTCTTAAGGCAGGACGCGGACAGCCGGCAACCCCCACTGCCGGCCTCGTATCCCACCTGCCAACAATCAACGCTTTTATGATCCGCAACAAATGGAAACGCCAGAGGAGGAGGAGGAGACGAAAATAAATCAGGATAATAATCATTAGAAACGATTATTCTCATTAACGATTATAAATAATAATTATAAACAATCTAGCATTACGTAAGATAAAGTGTTGAGTGATGCTAAATTGCTATTGTTTTCCAAGTTACGACTGTAATTTAGCTTGAAAAGCAGACCGAGCAGCGAACTCGTGACTTATTTTTTATAGTAGGGCACAGGGTCTCCATAGAGGAATTATTTGCTTCTACGAAGTTAAGATGTTCAGTAGAGGGCGACGAGAGAGAGCCATACGTCCTGATGGTGGCTATGAGAGAGAGCCATACATCCTGGTGGTGTATAGACTTACGTGCTGATGGTGTATATACGTCTATACGTCTGATGGTATATATACGTCCTGATGGTGGATGGACTTACGTACTGATGGTGTATGGACTTACGTGCTGATGGTGTATGGACATACGTCCTGATGGTGTGCAGACTTACGTCCTGATGGTGTGCAGACTTACGTCCTGATGGTGTGCAGACTTACGTCCTGATGGTGTGCAGACTTACGTCCTGATGGTGTGCAGACTTACGTCCTGATGGTGTATGGACGCCCTGAGGGCGAGGTGAGTGTTGAGTTGAGCATGCAGCCCCGCCAGGTGGGGAGTGAGCGCCACGCAGAAGCCACGAGCCAAGCCTTCCCAAATGCGGCTGAGGTTTACATCTCCAGCTCCGCAGGACGAGCTCTCCCCCTGCAAGTTTAGGGGACATTTTTATTCCCTGTACAGAGTACAGCTGAACTGATAAATTTCTACTTGCTCAGGTTGCTGTGCTCTCCTTAGTACCCTTAATATGTATTTCGAACTTAGCAGTCTTAGTCTTAGCTGCACCGCCACATAGACATGAAAACATGTTAAGTAATAGTCCAGAACTCGACGACATTTTGATTAGTAGTTCTAACAATGATGAAATGACTTGCTCGCTTAGTTCGATACCAGCAGCTTTATTGATTTACACAATTATATAGCGTGGAAGCAGTGAAACATCATAGAGGCTTTTACCAGCTATAGGTAACATATAAATGAAAGTAGCGACAGTTTCCCAGCAACGGCTTAACACCGATCTAGTAGCAACGCTTAGTACGCTCCAAACAATAATAATACATAATATATAAAAAATAAAGTACTCAGAACCTGAAGGACTTTCATAATCACACGAGTAGACATGAACTAATACATGTAATGCATTAAATTTGATTTCATGTTGCCAGATCTTCATTGCTATTCATTGGTAATAAGGACGTATTGTAAGCTATTTACCTGAATTATGAAGACCTCAGTCCAGCGGATGAGGAAGTCGCTGGACACATAATCCGTCCCGGAGTGCACTTTGACGGACGGAACGCCGTCCATCGCACGTCCGTCGATGGGACTCTTCACTCTGAGGACAAGAATGGCTACTGTTACTCTGAGTTAACATGAAGAGTGAGATGAAGAAAAGACCAACTTAAGAGAGAGTTAAAGCAAACACCAACTTAATATTGAGTTAGTTTAGTGGGCATAACTGTTAGCGCTTCAGGTCGCGGTATCTTGTGCGGAATGTCACGATGGGCATCGCGGGCTAACGATCATAAACCATGACATATAATCAGCGTTGAAAATATCATTTGCCAATGAATATATTTATCGCTTTCGCTCTCAGGTCCTTTATGAGGCCGTGGATGTTATAAATTCAAAGTTAACTTAAAAGTGGGCATCTCATACGACGCACTTAGGAGTGAGGATACCATGGACCCACTAGAGATAGCGGGGTTAAGCAGGGACTGGTAACAGGTTGCAGTTACTATAAGAAGTGGGAATAAGCCAGGACTGGGGTTAAGCCAACTCGGGGGTTAAAGAAGAACTAGGGTTAAGCCAGGACTAGGGTTAAGCCAAATCTGGGGTTAAGCCAGGTCGGGGGTTAAGGAAGGACAGGGGTTAAAGAAGGACTGGGGTTAAGCCATGTCAGGGGTTAAGGAAGGACAGGGGTTAAGGAAGGACAGGGGTTAAGGAAGGACAGGGGTTAAGGAAGGACAGGGGTTAAGGAAGGACTGGGGTTAAGCTATGTCGGGGGTTATGGAAGAACTAGGGGTTAAGGAAGAACTGGGGGTTAAGAAAGGACTAGGGTTAAGCCAGGTAGGGTTAAGCCAGATCTGGGGTTAAGTCAGGTTGGAGGTTAAGGACGAACTGGGGTTAAGTCAGGTCGGGGGTTAAGGAAGGACTGGGGTTGAGCCAGGTCGGGGGTTAAGGATGGACTGGGGTTAAGCCAGGTGGGAGGTTAAGGAAGAACTGGGGTTAAGTCAGGTCGGAGGTTAAAGAAAGAACTGGGGTTAAGCCAGGACTGGAGTTGGGGAAAAACTGTGGTAAAGGAAGGACTGAGATTAAGCCATAACTGACCCGACATTGCAGTTGTTGTCGTCGTGTGTCCAGTGCAGCAGCACCTGCTCCTGCGGCTGCTCCCCGGTGACGCCGCACGAGATGCTGAAGTCCTTCATGGCTCGTAGCGCCTCACGCAGCGCCGTCATCACGTCAGCCGTGATCTGCAGTGCAGACAAAACTTTCAGCAATCCTTGACTATGATACTGAAACACTGAAACTTTCAGCATTCCTCAAGTATGATACTGAAACTTTCAGCAATCCTCAACTATGATACTGAAACTTTCAGCAATCCTCAACTATGATACTGAAACTCTGAAGAAACTTTCAGAACGGCACTTGGAATATTTGGACCTGAAACTGAACAAGAGCAGCAATTATAGCAACAACTCCTGCAATGTCGTCATAACGTCGGCCGTGATCTGCAGCGCAAACATTTTCGTTTTTAGCTACATTTTCCATAGCCTTCAAGAAGCCCTTGTACAATGATAAAAAACGTAACGAAAAGTTTCAGAGCTGGAAAAAATACTTGGAAGTGATCACGGGCAGTAACTGTCATTCTGGAAGGTATTAAAAAATATGGTTCTTGAATGAGACAAAAATGACTTGATATGAACATCTTAGGACCCTAGGTTGACATGAACAATTTTCGAGTCATCCATGATGGACAAGAAAGTTTGAAAGTATTGTATAATCAACATCTTCTCAACTTATGTATATATTTCAAGCCTAACTTTGAGGCGACATAAAAGTGCAAAGTTACCTGCTCTTGAATGAGACAAAAATGACTTAATATGAAAGTTTTAGGACCCTAGGTTGACATGAACAATTTTCAGGCCATCCATGATGGACAAGAAAGTTTAAGAGAATTGTATAATCAACATCTACTCAACTTATGTATAGATTTCAAGCCCAAATAAGCTTAGAGGCGACATAAAAGTGCTAAGTTACCTGCACCATGAGTCCGTCCTCGACTATAGAGGACTTGGCAGTGAGGCCGCTGTTGCTCTTCAAGGCTCCGTTGAAGACAACGAAACTGGCGCCTGTCACTGCAGGATATAATTTTGCATCAATAACTAATCCCAACAACGATGGTCATGCATTATATTAGCTCTCAAATTGCCTGATGAAGCCTTTATTAATGCTAAAACAATCGTTAAATGTAGTAAGATGGAAGGTAACGAAGTTGCTAAAAATGGGACGAATTTTAAAATAAATTTGTTAAAAATGAGTATAATTGAGCTTCCAATAAGAACAAACAGCTTTTAAATCTGTATGTTTTCCCTGCTAACTAACTACATGGCAACCTTGATAGCCAAAAAAATCAATACAACGCTTTCATTGTTAATGGTGCATGCAGAGTGAAGTTAAAATAAAAAATAATTGAATGTGGATAATTCAACTGAAATAAACATGTCTTAAAATGCACAAGTTAGAATGTTCCTTACCTTTCCTGGACCTGTTGTGGATGTTGATGGCCTGCGCCAAGTATTGACCATCATCGTTCTTACCTTTCCTAGGCCTGTTGTGGATGTTGATGGCCTGCATAGAGTATTGGCCATCATCGTTCTTACCTTTCCTAGGCCTGTTGTGGATGTTGATGGCCTGCGTAGAGTATTGACCATCATCATTCTCGATGGTCACCAGGTGAGAGTCTGCGTCAGGGCTGAAGTTGGCGGCCAGCGCCAGCACGTGGTCGTTGCTGTTGCTCAGGGCTTTGCTGATCTGAAATTTGCAATATGTTAAGAGTATGATAATGGTAGATCATCTGTTAAAACGAGGTAAAATACTAGAATGATTACAGTAGATCATCTGTTAATACGATCTAGGATACTACTATAATAACAGTAAATCATCTGTGAATACCAAGTACGAGTAGGATGCTAGAATGATAACCATCTGAATATGCAATACGACACTAGAAAGCAAACAGTAAATCACATGATAGTTACTCGTTACATTTCAATATTTGAATTTATAGTATAGAACATTTTATTGTGGTAGTGACATTATTTGAAGGATTTTCAACGGCGATTTACTCCCTCAATCTGAAAATTTTGTTTAAATTCATAGTAGGTAGTGAATATATTATATTATTGTATGCTTTCATTTCTGGTTTCATAAATTTAACTTTCTTCACATTTCTATAGGGTTAACATAGCTGTAAATGAAGGTATAGGGCAGTGGTTCCCAAACTTTTTCAGGCTGTCGCCCCCTTTGGCTCCCTAGTGAATTTCTAGCGCCCCACACAGACACATATAAAATCATGCGCCTCTTTCTATAAAATTTAGTACGCTGAAATTTTAAAAGATAACGGTTAAACACAAATGTGTATTTCACAAATAGAACCCCTTTTAGTGAACCAATATGTTTTTCAGCCGTATTGACTGTTTCAGCACTAGAAACCTTGGACGTCTCGGGCAAATTTGCGGCCGGACTCGTGGCCGGTCTCACGACCAATCTCCAAATTCAATTATCAAGTAATATCACCAAAACTAATGAACGCAGCTCAATAAAACTTGTAACATGTATTCACCAGAACTTGACGATGATGTTTAGCTTGCGAAAATTTTTTTAATATCACCTTCATTCGTGAGTTATATTGCGATACAGTCCAAAATTCGCAGTGATCAAAGAATTTCTTCCAAACTACCAAACAGATTTGAACGAAATTTTGAATATACAATTATACATTTATAACTACCAAATGGTGTTTTTTAGATTAAAAAAAACTGATTATACCGTCGTTTGCGAGATTTTTTCATTTCACCGTCATTCTTGATTTCACACTTCCATATTCGCTTTTGTTCGAAAGTTATACAGATATAGGATGAACGACCGGCTTTTCTACCGGCTGGTTTAACTAAGAGCCGTTTACGTATAGCCGTATAACTCGAAAACGAAGGCAAAACGAAAAAATTGTAACGAGCTAAACATTACCGTTGCTGAGGTTAAGTATTAAAATACTAAATTTCGTTCAAATCTGTTAATTAGTTTGGAAGAAATTTTTTGATTACTGCGAAGTTAAGCATGAAATGAGAAAATGCGCTAAAAACAGATCTGGGTGAAAAAACCATCGCTGGGAGTCATGTGCTGCACGTGTTGTGTACAAATCGTTAAACAAACGTTTGAACATCTGACTGCGACTTCGGACTGTCGCCCCCCTATCACCCTCTTCTTCTTTACCGCCCCCCAAAATCTTTCCATCGCCCACTTTGGGAACCACTGGTATAGGGCATCCGATGGTAAGAAGTGTTATTGTTACAGCATCCGAGGGAAAAGGGTCATTGCTGAGGCACCTGAGGGTAGCGGTTGCGAGGGATGTGGAGGGTTGTCTTCTTATCCTCCATGTGCACAACGAGGCCTTGTATGCCAGGGATGGTGTACGTGTAGTTCCTGAAATCCTGAGGGTAAAAATACCAGGATTAGATATGGCTTCAAAAATGTTCTTATAACACATCCAATGTTCCAATTCATTATAAATCCTACTGAGATACACAGTAAGTGACAATCTTACTCCCTGACGATGGTGCAATACACGAATATGCTGCATATGACCCTTGCATTGATGGCTCACGGGGCTGACTGCTCACTCAGGTCACATGGAATTAGCTTGTGAATCACACACGTCAACTTCGTTTTTGCAAGTCACCCATGATTAACTCAATTCATTACGAAAAAATTAAATAACATTTTGCCTGGATCCACACACCACCAGCAGGTTCATGATGGTGTGGCCATCATCACACTATTACACCACACACCACCAGCAGGTTCATGATGGTGTGGCCATCATCACACTATTACACCACACACCACCAGCAGGTTCATGATGGTGTGGCCATCATCACACCATCACACCACACACCACCAGCAGGTTCATGATAGTGTGGCCACCATCACATCATCACACCACACACCACTAGCAGGTTCATGATGGTGTGGCCTATCTCCGAGAAGACAGGCTTCCTGTTGCGTGTAGACACCAGCGGGCAGGGGTAGTAGCGGAACTCTGCGCCCAGGCGGAGCAGCAGGCGCAGTGGGAATACCTGCGAAGCCAATGCGTTTAAGATATAATATCTAATGTCCTTACTGCTTCATTATCATAAATGAGTCGATATAAAATATCTAATATTCTTACTGCTTCCTTCATTAATGAGTCAATGCCAAATATCTAATATCCTTACTGCTTCATTGTCTCTGGCAAGTCCAATTTTCAAATCTGACACTTCATAAAACTGAACTGGAAAATAATTTCAATAACTTGGATGCTGATGCAAACCTGAATTGGCGTCTCCCTCTAGTGTGGGATTCACTAACCGGCATTAAATTCATCCGTGTCTTTTAATATAAATAACCAATGCGTTTCAACTACAATTTAATCTTCATATTAAAAAGGAAGTAAAACAGCTCCTTCAAAATATTCCAACAATAAAGCAAAAAAACACAAAAAACAAATTTATGTTTTGAGTAATAAAAGTATAAAACTGACCTTTGCCCAAGGCGTAATAAGTTTCTAGTAATAAAACAGACCTTTGCCCACGGTGCCTCCCACTTGTGTATGAGGAGGGCGAAGAGGAAGGGAGGCTGGGGGAGAGGCAGGTTATGCAGGCACTGGAAGGTGGGGCGCACGTAGAGGAAGCCCCCGTGGTCGCGACTCCCCAGGAAGCCATCGGGTTCCGTCAAAATGGTGTGGCCAAGCTCGCTTACCAGGTTGCCTGCTCATATCAGGATTATTTAGCATATATTCTATAAGTGACTATATTAAAAGTATTTATGATTTAAGTAACACTTCCCAGGTTGTCTGCTCGTATCAGGATTATTTAGCAACTAGTATAAGTGAATATACTAAAAGGATTTATACTGCAAGTAACTATCCTTATAAGTAACTATTTAGCAACTATACCGAACGAAAAGTAATTATAAGTAAATTTCCTTCCACTCTTCAGCGACTGGTTACCTTGCAAGTGCAAAATACTGCATTGCCTCCATACCGCATTGCTGAAAAAAAACCTGCACCTGGGCATAGCGCAGCCAGAAACTAAAGCCAATATTCTTGTCCATTTGGACGAATGAGATTCAAATGTAAACAAAAATAGTCCTTATGATGGGCGACGGATCTGTACAGCTGGACGTTAAAGGGTTAATTACTATACAGTCTATACTCAACTATTTAGTATAGTATTTAGCAAGTTCTCCTTTCTGATTTGCAACTTCAAACATTTCTTTCTAATACAGCACGTCAAGTAAATGCAAACAAATTTAAACAATCGTGTTGATGGATACCTAAAATAGGACACTATCATGCTCCATATTGCTCTGTATAATATATTCACTGTCAGCCTAAAAATAGATGAAACTTCAAGCCGATAAAATATACAAAAGATGTTGACGTAATATTGCCAACATCACTGACAACTAATACTTGAACATCAAATCTGTATAACAATACAACAAAGTGCACCTCTGACATCTCCCTGTACGCTGATGACCTCATAACTTAGTTCCCGCGCCGAAGCTGCGTTTACTGTAAAGAAGTTCGTCGGAGTTTCGTTCAAAACCTCCATTCTGTACAAGTTTCCTTCCTGACATCCATCAATCACACTTGCATCCTTCCGTAGCACTCGGCAACAGCCTCATCCCCCTAGACAAATCCCCTACAATCTCGTGTCACTTGAGATACCCGCTAGTTATCTGCTTATCACAAAAGGTGCAGCCCCCTCCCCCCCCGCTCATCCTGAAAGTTCTGGCTGGCACCAACGTGGGGAGTCTCAAAGAAGGACATCGTTGCCACCTACCGGACCATCACGCATTCCATCCTCAACTCCGCAGCCCTCATCTACTACCACATCGCCCCGCGCAACGCAGTGACAGGCCTTAAACTATCCAGAACACGCCCCCCCACCCCCACGAGGCCCTAACCCTTCCCCTCAACTACCATCGCTTCACTGCTGGTAGACGGAGTAGATGACGGCTTTACTCCGTCTACCAGCAGGTGCCCCCGATCTCTACCCGGCTCTCTCGTGGGTCAGGCCAAACGTCAGAGGTCCCCTCGCCCGGATCGCTACCGGACGGAGACTCCTTCCTCATTTTTTCACCTAAGGGTAGGGGAACCTCGGCCTCCTCTTCCCCCTACCACATCTTTGGCCGCCTATTTTTCCTGGGGCACCTTATGCCCTCCCCCCTCCCATCTTTTCTTCCTACTCTTCCTTCTCCTTCTAACTCAGGGTATCCATCCCAACCCTGGACCGCACCCCTGCTCAGTCTGCTCCCTCCCGGTTACACGGCGATGTTACCCGTTCTTGTGCTCCATATGCAATGCCTGGACCCACAAGCGATGCTCCGGTCATCGCTCCATTCATCTCTACTCCGAAGATTGGATCTGCCCTACGTGCAGGCGGTCTAACCCCATCCCAGCCAGACCCTCCTCCCACCTTTGCGTCCTCCAGTATAACTGCAACGGGATTCAATCCAGTGCAGTTGAACTGGCTACTTACCTCGCCTCCTACGCGGCGACACCTCCATGGAGGCTATGGCAATCTCCACTCCTCTTAACGGCTCACCTCTCTGTATCATCAATGTATACATCCCACCGGCCTCCTCCTGCACCCAGGGATACTCCCCGGAGCTCGCGGACATTATCTCCATCCCGGGAGACTGCCTGATAGTGTGCGATTTTAACGCCCACCACCCCTCCTGGTTCTCTCACATGGAAGACCAGAGAGCCGCAGCGCAAGGAACCGCAGTCGACGACCTCGTCGCTGGTTCCTCCCTCGCCTACCTCAATGAGGACCTCCATACCCGCCTCCCTTCCCATGGCCCGCCCTCATCTCCGGACCTCGCCATCATCAGCGGTCACCTACTCCTCAGCACCTCCAGGACTCCTCAAGTCGCCCTCAACTCGGACCACCTGCCATCCAGATCCATCTCCCTTCCTCTGCTGATTCCCCGACCCCCCGGGCCGCCCGCTTCAATGTCAACTTTAAAAAAGCTGACTGGCCCGCCTACACAGCAGCCATCGAAGCGGCGCTCGAGACCGTCCCTCCCCCCTCCTCGTGTGGCGGAGAGTCGACCTTGAGGGAAGTCCTGGCGACCGCTGCCAGACAGCATATCCCTGCCGGATTCAGGAAGGACTTCTCCCCATCAGTCAACCCTAGTACCCAGTTGCTCATCGAGCAAAGGGATGACATTAGGGCTGTCTCTTATACACATCTNTCTGCAGCACATGACGTAACTCAGTACATTGCTACAGATAAATACATATCAATAGCACTCACTGGACATGTACTCTGCAGCACATGACGTAACTCAGTACATTGCTACAGATAAATACATATCAATAGCACTCACTGGACATGTACTCTGCAGCACATGACGTAACTCAGTACATTGCTACAGATAAATACATATCAATAGCACTCACTGGACATGTACTCTGCAGCACATGACGTAACTCAGTACATTGCTACAGATAAATACATATCAATAGCACTCACTGGACATGTACTCTGCAGCACATGACGTAACTCAGTACATTGCTACAGATAAATACATATCAATAGCACTCACTGGACATGTACTCTGCAGCACATGACGTAACTCAGTACATTGCTACAGATAAATACATATCAATAGCACTCACTGGACATGTACTCTGCAGCACATGACGTAACTCAGTACATTGCTACAGATAAATACATATCAATAGCACTCACTGGACATGTACTCTGCAGCACATGACGTAACTCAGTACATTGCTACAGATAAATACATATCAATAGCACTCACTGGACATGTACTCTGCAGCACATGACGTAACTCAGTACATTGCTACAGATAAATACATATCAATAGCACTCACTGGACATGTACTCTGCAGCACATGACGTAACTCAGTACATTGCTACAGATAAATACATATCAATAGCACTCACTGGACATGTACTCTGCAGCACATGACGTAACTCAGTACATTGCTACAGATAAATACATATCAATAGCACTCACTGGACATGTACTCTGCAGCACATGACGTAACTCAGTACATTGCTACAGATAAATACATATCAATAGCACTCACTGGACATGTACTCTGCAGCACATGACGTAACTCAGTACATTGCTACAGATAAATACATATCAATAGCACTCACTGGACATGTACTCTGCAGCACATGACGTAACTCAGTACATTGCTACAGATAAATACATATCAATAGCACTCACTGGACATGTACTCTGCAGCACATGACGTAACTCAGTACATTGCTACAGATAAATACATATCAATAGCACTCACTGGACCTCATCACGTCACCACACCACTACACAACTTGGTCAGCACCTCATCACAGGTGCTGAACAACACAACAAATATTTCTCTAACTTGAGGCCAAAGTTACCACAGCTGACGGAACATTCAACATAGATACCTACATAACACACCATTCAACATAGATACATACATAACACACCATTCAACATAGATACATACATAACACACCATTCAACATAGATACATACATAACACACCATTCAACATAGATACATACATAACACACCATTCAACATAGATACATACATAACACACCATTCAACATAGATACATACATAACACACCATTCAACATAGATACATACTTAACACACCATTCAACATAGATGCATACTTAACACACCATTCAACATAGATACTTAATACACTATTAAACATAGATACATACATAACAAATCATTCAATTTAAATACATATACATAACATTCATCAAAGACACACACGCCACATCTATTGTAAATATAACAATGACAAGCTATATAAACATATTCTCTAGGAAAACTTTTGCTCAATGGCCCAAAATGACGGATTTAGAATACAAAAATGACTCATAAATTTACATTGAAATAACCTAGTGGAGAAAACTTTTATTAATCACGTACACTATAATAGTGTAGACGATACATGCACGTCAAGTGCATGTCATTATTATTACAGTGATTGTCATTATTATTGTATTCATAGAAAATAATGTTCAAAGTTATGTGACATTAAATCGTTACAAGCACATATTATTTTACGGGACAAATGGAAAAGGAATGAACGGAAATGGGAAAGGAATGAACGTAACAGACAAGATAACTACACAACTAAACATGTGCAAAAAAAAATTAAAATCAAAATATGAAGACATCACGAAGATTAAAGCAAATATTGCACACGTGACAAGCAAGCGAGGTACGAGGCAAAATATAGGACTTCGCGTCGCTGTTTAAATTTTATAGGAAAATTTTTATAGGAAATATAGGAAATTTATAGGAACTTTTCTAAGAAAGTCGGGGAGCCAAGTATACTCTGTGGCTATGACTTCATTAAATTTATTACGTTAACTCGCGTTCTTTATAGGCAACAAAGTTCAGACTTACAACTTGGGTTAACCGCGATAATTTAAACAATTTTTCTGACGTTTTCCCCATGCCGGTATATACACTCAGGAAATAAATGGTTCATACTGTCCAAATAGAGACACACTTTCCAGCACGTAGAACTGATACACCGGTGCCGGGACAACTTGGGTCAGGATGCGCCACTAGGGCAAAAAATGCATCGCTATTTGGACAAAGCCACATTTATTGCCCCGAGTGTAAGTTTAGGCGTTAACGCACCTTGTCTCTGGCCTTTACCCCTCTGCAGGAGAACGGGGGGCAGCCCCCCATCAGGGGGCAGCAGACACACGTCCCCCTTAACGCGCCCGCCCCCTGAAAAACGACCCACATGAGGCAACAAATTTCTCATTCTCCATGGTCAAATTTTTAGTTTATTCCTTTGCTTATTATTTAACTTATGCTTTTGCTTATTTTTAGCCTATTTTTAAGCTTATTCTTCACCTTATTGCGCAAAGTACATCTTCATGGAAACAATTTTTTGTAACATTCAACGTTTCCAACGTTAAATACGCAATGAACTCGGAGATTTGGCTCGCTACAATTGTTGAATTCAGAGCAAATGCACCTTCAGGATACAAGTTTAAGCTGGAATACAGAATTTGCAGGCCAATGTTTTAAAGTAATGACGGCAGTTGCTGCGGGCCACTGCACCTCAATAATTTAGACCATGTGAGGAGTTTCAATTATAATAAACAAAATAAAATTATATATAATAAATAAAATAAAATTAAGAAGCAACGAAAAGTGGGAGAAGAAAACGAGAGTTTTACCAGAGAACTGCACTACCGAGTCAATGTAGTGTAAAAAATAAGCAGACTAAATAAGAAATAAATTTTAGAGCAGGTTGTGCATTGTGCATGCGTATTTTTTATATTTATTATATTGAATTAAATATAATATATTTATTATATTAATTTATATTTATTAATAAATTTAATCCTTTCCTCTGATCTCATCAACAAACCTTGCAATTAACAGTGCAAGGTTCATTTGTCACCAGGTATAACATGTTAAAGATAACCGTGACCATTTCATCACAAGCGGGGTTCCAAAAATTCATACGAGATAAATTCAAGATAATATTTCTCAATAGCGCTTGTCTACTGATAAATCTTATCATTCCCAAAACAGATGTAACTGGCAATTTATTATATATATTATTATAGGACGTACCGGTACCGGCATGACTCTGATGAAACGTACCGGTACCGGTATGACTAGAACAACGTACCGGTACCGGCATGACTAATAGAACCACATACCGGTACCGGCATGACTAATAGAACCACATACCGGTACCGGCATGACTAATAAAACGTACCGGTACCGGTATGACTCTAGAACAACGTACAGGTACCGGCATGACTAATAAAACGTACCGGTACCGGTATGACTATAGAACAACGTACCGGTACCGGTATGACTCTAGAACAACGTACCGGTACCGGCATGACTAATAGAACAACGTACCGGTAGCGGCATGACTCTAATAAAACGTACCTACCGGTACCGGCATAACATAGGACAACGTACCGGTACCGGGCATCATCCTGGCGACACGTCCGGTACGGGTGCGGTGAGGGGGCGGGGGGTGTTGAGGGGACCCAGGGCCGGTCCCGCGGTCCAGCTCGCTGAGATCCCCGCCGGGCCGGATGCCGTCACTGAAGATCACCTGCTTGCTGGGGACCGAGGTTCGGGACCGGCCTGTGCTGCTGCTGTCTGTACAACGGGCACGTGTTAGTGCACTGCATGCACGTGTTAGTGCACTGCATGCACGTGTTAGTGCACTGCATGCACGTATTACTAAAATATCTTGCATATAAATTACGTACGCATTAAACACCTCACTCATAGCCATGAAATATCTTATATATAAATTACGTACGCAGTAAAAGATCGTATCAGTGCTACGTGCAGGTCAACTATTTGAACAATATGAGCCATTAATTTATTTGAGTGCCCTGAGAACTGACCCTCCCTCTTGAGAACCCCTACAGGCACCATGACGGTGGGGTTCTCTCCAGCAGCCCCCGCCTGCTGGGGGGGAGGGATGCGCGAGCAATACTCCATGGGGTTGTTGGGGTCGGGGGAGTGTGGGGCACCCGTGGGGGACGACGCCGCTCCCCCAGACTCCGTCCCACTCGAATCAGGCTCCTCTGTGGGCAATATAATAGTTATATAGTGTATATAGTGTATAGTTATTTACGTGCGCACACTGCGGTCAGCAACGCAACCCACGTAGAACAATGAGTGTCTAACTGTATGGCGCCGGTAAGTGTAAATTTCTTGTTTGCGGCGACGAATATTCATGTATGAACATCATTAATGTACAACTAAGTTAGGTAAGTAAGGTTGCAAACTGAATTATTATGTGCACAACTGAATACAGACAGTTATTGAATTATCAATTACTTGTTGAATTATCATCCAGTTGTTAACACTGGATAGTGCTGTGCGATATATGAGCAACCAAGTAAAAATTTGTTTATAAACAGCCGGTTCTGGGATAGAAACTGTTGACATATTACACGAGTAGAAAACTTAGAATTAATTGAATAAACGACTGCTGTATAATGAGCTACAAAAGATTAATTAGAAGTTATTTAAATATATATATTGCGTGAGCTAAAGACGATGCAAGTAACATTGTAACCTCACCAGTGCTGTTCAAGGCAGACCCTAGCCTCCCTGTAGTCCATTACCTGTGCTGGTCATAAGGGTCTTGCATGTATGACAGACCCTAGCCTCCCTGTAGTCCATTACCTGTGCTGGTCATAAGGGTCTTGCAGGTATGGCAGACCCTAGCCTCCCTGTAGTCCATTACCTGTGCTGGTCATAAGGGTCTTGCATGTATGGCAGACCCTAGCCTCCCTGTAGTCCATGTAGGCAAGCTGTGCCTTGTCCCTGCAGCAGGCAGCACACAGCACACGACCACAAGCACGGCAGTGATGTCGTCGCCGCACCAACGTGAACACGCGCCCACACTCCTGACACGCGCACGCGTCGTCGTCTGGCACCCAGAACGGCGCCACGCTTCCCACCACGTTCACGCTCTCTGTTGTGCAGTAATATTGTGTTACTGATATAGGCTGGATGGTGGGCAATAATAAATTACGAAAACTTATAGTATGCTCTCTGTTGTACAATAATATTAGGTCACTGATAATAAATACTGGATGTTCTGCAAAATATGTTAGAAAACTTGCGTATAGTATGCTCTCTGTTGTACAATAATATTATCTAACTGATAATAATGCTGTCTGTTGTGCAATAATACATTACAAAACTTATAGTACGCTCTCTGTTGTGCAGTAATATTATGTTACTGATGTAGGCAGCCTGTTGCGCAATAATATTGTGTTACTGATATAGGCTGGCTATTGTACAATAATATTTTGCTAAACTAATAATATGTTCCCTGTTGTACAATTATACATTACTTAAGTAATAATACGCCCCTTGTTGTGTAATAGTATATTACATTTCACTTATAATGCACTCGTTGTTGCAAACATTCGAGTTATTGCACAATACAAACGGTTGAGTTATTGTAATAATTGCATTCAAATAATCCATTTGACCTCACATCTAGCTAAGGGTTTGACTTCTTTTGCTTGATTAAACTACTCGAAAAAGAGGTAGTACTTGATAGAAAAAACACCATCAAAATATGCACCCAGCAATGAACCAGCACTCCAAAAATGCAGACATCAACAACAGTATATCCTAAAAGTCAAAGTTAGCACTACCCACAAAACTCTGGCATAATGTATACTCAGAAAAATAGAGACAATAGTCCAAATAGCAATACAATATTGCCCTTGTGTGGGCCATTTTGACCCTGTTTTGCCCGATAAAGATCATATCACTGTGAAGGGCAGAAAGTGTGTAACTATTTTGACACACTTACCCATTCATTTTCTATGTACAAGTAAGTTAATTACCAGACGGAAAAGATCATATCACTGTGAAGAGTAGAAAGTGTGTCACTATTTTGACACACTTACCCATTTATTTTCTATGTACAAGCAAGTTAATTACCAGACACAGGCTCGCGCGCCCTCCTCCTGCCAGACTGTACGTCATCGTACACGGCCGTCACGAGCGTGCCTGCAACCAAGTACACATCAAGCCTACATTTGTTTACACAACTTTTACGCTATATTAATTATATTGTAGACACAAAGCAATCTGAAAGACCGTTAGGCAGACAACACATCTAGGTTAAGCATTGTAAGGAAAGTATCAGTTTAACGAGAGGAATAAAAGAACAAATTTGTTATAAATGATGAAGTAGGTAATACAAAACAAAAATTATACAACAACTTCACACAACGAAATTAAGATAAGCATTGAATAAACAAAAAAAGTTACCCATATTAGAGAGTTTACTCACCTGGAGTGTGGCGTATGGGAGAGGAGGAAGCAGAATGATCGCCCTCACCAGGCGCATCTTCGTCAGGTTGGCTTGGGTCGTTAGCCGAGGGCAGAATTTGTCTCTCAAGATATCCATGTGGCACGGCCGCACCTCCGACGTCACAATCCTCATTGTGAACTGGCAGATTTTCTGCAGTGTTCTCACTTGATGGGCTGGAGTCTAGCCCACAGGGTTCAGCAGCGGCAGAATTTTCACTGCAGTTCTCTGGGAGACTGCAAGATTCTTCCAGCAAATTGCCGGCAGGTGGGAGATCGCAGCTTGTATGTTTACGACCAACTTCAGAGTCAATGCTAGGAATAGACTCCATGCGATGCCTGGGCTCAAGAGAACGCTGTTCCAAGTCAAATACTGACTGATCTAAATTATGCGACACCATATTTTCTTGTACATCTACAGCTGATTCTGCTTCTTGTGAGCTGTCAAGTACAAGGTTGTCGGCTTCATGGACTGCTACAAGGTCGTTGTGGACTGCATTATCATCTTCGTTAAAGTCCACTGTCTCACCTATGATATCTGGTCCATGTCTTAGGACTCCATCAGAATAACTATCTACTTTTTGGATTTCAGGAGAGGGATCACATTTTCCTGGATTTTCATTTAGACTTGAATTCACCCCATAGGCCCCCTGCAACATGGCTTGTTCTTCTTCAAGCTCAGAAAGTTCAGCCTGCAACTCAATCTCACTTACATTAGCACTAGGATTAAAAGCTAAAGGCACAAGTGGTGCAGAGTTTCCAGCAAGTGTCTGATCCATTTTGGTGCTTTCCGAGTTCTCCACCTTTGTGTTGTCAGCAGCAGAAGGAGAAGACGCACAATTTTCAGAGCTCCGTAGGCCACAAGCTGAATTAGGTGCATGCACTAGATCAACATTCATCAGAGTCTCATCAATTTTGGATGAATTTGGAATGCCACCCACTGCACTTTCATAAGTCTGATGAACATTGGCAACTTCAGGGATGCCATGGCGGGATTGACTCTCCTGCACCAACGCAGGTTCTGAACTGTGCACAGTCACTGCGTTCTCAGCAATGATGGCTGGTTCTGGCAGATCATCTCCTGTCCTATGATGAACAAGCTCCCCGTTATTGGTCATCAGATCTGGTAATATTCGAGGTTCAGGACAATGAGCATCATCAATCTGTGCAACATTTTCCTCTGGATGATCTTGGTTCACCATTTCTTGAGGTGGATCAAAGGCAGCAGCAAATGCACCTTCATTACAGGCCACATCTTCTTCTGGATGTTGAGATACTTCAATTACGTCAGGATGTCTGGGCCCCACATCCTGTCTGCTTGAGAGTCCTGGTAAGCTGAGAGTGCCCGTCACCACATCTAGAGGACGATGCATAGACCCTGCTTGGTTTGTGACGTCCAAGACACTAGCATTCCCATCTCCAACGATACGACGGGAAGCAGAAATGCCATAAATAGAATGAGATTGGCTTTCATTTGTACCAGAAAATGAAGGCCCCTCATCTACAACACCGAGAAGAGCACCATTTATACCTGACCTGGACGAAGATAAGCCATCAGCATTAGTGGCATTCTGATGGGTGCTGACGGCACTCAGATGAGTGCTGATGGATCCTAAATCTTGACCAGCATTGTCAGAAGGAGACGCTCCGACAGCAACCTGCCTCAGGCTTCCTGTATCAGCTGAAGATTGGCTCTGAGATAATGGGAAATTTTGAAACAAACTTGAACTGGAATTTGTTGGAACATTGTCATTGTCAACAGAAAAATTAACAATTGAACTATTATTTGCTGAAGTTGGATTGTAAGTACTGCCTAGATGATTTTTTTGAGAAGACAAGTGACTTGCAGCCCCGAACTGCAACGACGATGGTGATGAGTAATTGGGTAGAATGCTGCCTGTGTGTGTATGGTGACTGCCACCATACTGAGAGTGGTGAGCAGCAGCACTGCTCTGGTCATCATACTGACCATCAGGGGGACTGCGCACAGCAGGTATCATGAAATCCTCCATCACATCATCTGTGTTATCAAAATCCAGTATCATTCCACAACTGCTGGATGATCCATCATTCCTTGGATACAAGCCTGTGCTTGCATTCTTACTGGGGAAATTGTTGCTAGAACTTGATGGCTGACTCCAGCCTCCTGAAGGGCCCAAAACATTACCAGGGATATTGGGAGTGGTCTTCTTATAACTGCTGTTGGTGGCTGGTGCTGTAGGAACACTTGCAATTGAGCTGTCATTGCTAGCACTGCTGCTGTAGTCCAGTTGCAGACGTCCAAACTGTGAGCTCTCCACTTGTTCATCTGCAATATGTGTTCAGTTAATTAAGGTAAAGCAATTGAAGGAACAAGTGTTGTTGAACAATAAAAAGTGAATTTAATTAAGAAGAAAAGATTTTTAAAATATCAGAACGAATTTATAGATATGAAATAGGGTGGGTACTGCCAAGCAAACTCACAACTTTACTGTGAAAGCTAAATGGGCATTTACAAATGTTAAACTAATTATGGGCTTTTGGGCTAAGATCTTAAAGAGCAGAACATTTAGAATGGATTAAAATAGTTTGAAAAATCTGTTAGTTCAAAAACTCAGTTATTAATAATCATTTCCATGATATGATCAGTTTTATATATATATATACTGCCTTATTAGATCATATTACCTGCTGATTGATAGAAGTAAGATTGCATTATGATGCTTAATATTTTGTATCAAATGATAGGTGAACAATAGGAATAACACAAAACTGTCACAGGCATATAGGAAATTTAAAAAAATGAGATCATAGCTCTAAATCAGTGGTTCCCAAAGTGGGCGATATCGCCCCTCTTGGGGCAGTGGAAAGATTTTGGGGGCGGTAAGAAAGAAGAGGGCAGTAGGGGGTGGGTGGTAGTCCGAAGTCAAAGTATGAAGTTCGAACGTTTATTTGACGATTTATAAACAACACATGCAGCACATGACTCCCAGCACTGGTTTTTTCACCCAGATCTGTTTTTTTAACCTTTCCTGGGTTTACATCTTGGATAAATTACTGTAACGGCCAGACTCGCGGCCAGTCTAATGGCCAATTTCCAAATTCAACAATAAAAAAATATCTCTCAGACTCAAACTAATGACCATATCTTGATGAAACTTGGTACACGTATTCATTAGGATCAAACGGTAATATTTAGCTTGTTACAATTTTTTCAATTTTGCCTTCGTTTGCGAGTTACCGTCAACCGGGGCTACTTGGGACAGATTTTTTTGTTAATAACTGTTAATAACTTCTTACGATGAAACATTTCATAAACAAATTTAGGCTCATTATATAGCTCTTTGCGCGGGCTATCGAACGGCATTGTCAAAAAAATCCATATGCTATTCGTAAGGTGCCAGACGCAAAATAAAGATTGTCCCGAGTAGCCCCGTCGGTCGGGGCTACTTGGGACAATGGGAATAAAACTTCATTTCAAAATATTTGAAGCATGCAGAGCATACTCATCCATTACTAACAGTACTCTGAAGTCCTCCTCTTTCATTGTAGATGATGTAGAGGTAGAATAAATGACATTTTCTGTGATTTTTACTTGTTTTTCCTTTACTGATATGATATTGCCATATACATACATTCATTACCGTATTATTGATGTGCAATTATCATATTATTGATGCAATATTACCGTATCCATGAACATGCCATTGAGCATTTACAACAACCTTGTCCACTGCAAGCTTCATATCAGCAGCCTTATAGCATTTTTTTCGTATCTGTAAGCTTACAGGACGGCTCGTAATTTCACTTCATTTTAATTGGGTTAAGTGAATTTACTATGGTAAAAAAGGTCATGAAAAACATACCTGAAACAGAAAGGAATGTTTCATTCAGTGACAACCAACGTATCTTTTGGAGAAATAAATCATAGTTTAGGTGAATTACTTTACATTCTATGATGCCTGGTGCCCAATTCTATACATGACATGCTATGCACAATTTTGTGATGACCGATGATGCACTAACTTTTTGATAAGTGAAATTTTTTTCGCTGAGCAAGGAAAATGTGATCAATATTATTTGTTTTTAATCAATTTTTTTTTGTAATTGGGGCCTTTGCTAACTGAGGTTCTACCGTAAATGCGTTTTTGGGGGTGTCCCTAATAGCCCCGGGGGGGGGGTGTCCGGAGTAGCCCCGCCATGCGGAAATGAGATAGGCAAATGTGGAATGAGATAGGCAAATTCTGTCATTTACGTTTTCAAGCCAACACCTGGGTGCAACTTTTATGTAAGTAAAATTTCTTAATACGGCGAATACCTTAGCAGTTGTAACTTTACAAAATATAGTTTTTAACCATTTTTTTGAGGAATTTTTCAAAGCAAGTAAATGTAGAATTTTTCGACTTCCTTTATACTACATAGATAGGATACATGTTGACGTTTACGCCACAATTTTTAGTTTTGCAATATCCCAATTAGTTTCGCTACTACAATAAATCAATTTGCGCCGTGTCGGAGGCCTGTCCCGAGTAGCCCCGCTTGTCCCTAGTAGCCCCGGTTGACGGTATACGGCTATACGTAAACGGCTCTTGGTTAAACCGGCCAGTAGAAAACCGGGTCGTTTCTCCTATATCTGTATAACTTGATAACGAAAGCAAAATATAAAAATTGTCGTGAGTTAACCATCACCATTGGGATGTTAGGTATTTATATATACAAAGTTTCATTGAAATCTGTTCAGTAGTTAGAAGAAATTTCTTGATCCCCGCAAATTTGAGCGACAAATTACCTGGCGATACGTGCCAAATATAAGGAAGTGTGAAATCAAGAATGATGGTGAAATGAAAAAAACTCACAAACAAAGGTAAAATCAAATTTTTTCAAGTTAAACAAAAAATAAAATGACCGTTTGGTAGTTAGAAATGTATATTCAAAATTTCGTTCAAATCTGTTCAGTAGTTAGGATGAAATTCTTTGATCACTGCAAATTTTGGCCCATATCGCAATATAAATCACGAATGAAGGTGAAATTAGAAAAATTTTCACAAGCTAAACACTACCGCTAGGTTCTGATGAATACAAGTTCCAAGTTTCATTGAGCTTTGTTCATTAGTTTGGGAGATATTCCTTGATCATTGAATTTGGAGATTGGCCATGAGACCAGCCACGAGTGCGGCCGTAAATTTGCCCGAGACGTTCTAGGTTTTTGGTGCTGAAACAGTTAAACAGCTGAAAAACATATTGGTTCACTGAATGGGGTTCTATTTGTGAAATACACATTTGTGTTTAACCTTTATCTTTTAAAATTGCAGCATACTAAATATCAAGAAAAAGGCATTTGTTTTGTATGTGTCTGTGGGGGGAGCTAGAAATTCACTAGGGAGCAAAAGGGGGCACCAGCCTAAAAAAGTTTGAGAACCACTGCTCTAAATCATCTAATAAAATATAATTTTATAATAAATTGAAATTATATAATACTGAGCAGCTTCATTCTTACCTTCATCCAACTCAAAGTCGTCCAGAACTTTGTCCAAGTCTATCGCAAACTTTTCCATCTTGATAGCTTAATAAAGATATATACCAACTAATGTCATTTCTCTTATTACTTTATCAATATTTTTCATAATTTACATGAATCTGAAATAAAGATTGCAGCAATGTTACTGGATCTATTCAGAAAAACTGGGCAGAAGCCACCCTCAAATCGACATTTTCCATTTGCCTAATTTCTGTCTTAAACCTCTACCACCTGAAAGGAGTAACAGAGAAGTACCTATTGTCACAAGTCTACTTTCCAAAAAGGATACATTCTAGTGAGTGCAACATGACTTGCACTGATGGTAGCTGCCACACACAACAATGTTAAAATGTTACCCATCAATCACAAAGAGACCCTCATGTTGGGCTGGGAGGAGTCCGACCTTCTACTTTGTCAGACCCCAAAGCTCCTCGGGGTATCTTTTGACCCCCATTTCATCTTTTCGCTTGCCACATATCGCTGCAATATGTCAGAAAGCCCGCCTGTGTCTCAACATGCTAAGTCTCTTGCCAGAACCAGCAGGGGCCAGCAGAAGGAAACCCTCTTGGTGACTTTCAAGGCCCTTATTAAGTCTCTCTTCACCTACGCTGCCCCAGCGTGGTTCACCAATGCCTGTCCTTTGTCAATCTCTAAGCTGCAAACTATTCAGAACTCAGCCCTCCACATAGCTACGGGATCTCTTCAAATGGCCTTCGCTTCCCATCTGCACAGCAAAACTCAGGTCTTACCTGAGGCTAAACACCTTTCTCTGCTCTGCTCACAATACCTTGCCAGTGCCCTATGACCGCACTATCCCAGCTACCCTATCATCACCCAGACATCGGGACCCTGTCCCATTAAGCACACGCTTCAGACTCGCTTCCTCCCTATGGTCTCTCACCTGCTGTAGGAGGGTTCATTCCCCCCTGACTCCTACCCCACCCCACTGAGGTCAGGACCCTGCACAGTTCTGCTGTCTCAAGCTATCCCTCCCCAGGGTGGCCAGAAAGTTTAATGCCATTGACGAAATTTTTACATGTCAAATAGTTTTTGAGTTTTGGGGTTTTTGTTACAAAAAAAACTAAAAGTGGTCAAACTCACCCCGGGCCCGGGAGAAAGTAACCCCCTTTTACCCTGGGAGTAAGTAACCCCTTTTCAAAGTAACCCCCTTTTACCCTAAATTGTGAGTAAATGAGGAAATTAAAAAGGAACTGATTCTAAAGAAATGCATGGTTTGTCACTATGGTTGACCACAACCATGGTGCAATTCTATAGGTTATTCAAAAGAACCTGGTCTTATGTCATTTTGAACCGATCAACACTTCTTTACGGACCGATCGGATCATGTCACGACACAACCTTATCCGGCAAAAGCTTTCTTGCTTCTGAAGAAAGGGGCGGATCGCTGTGTCAGCTGACACTGGCCGTGGGCGGGCCTTATTTGAATTGGAACACATGCATGCATTTGAAATCCTATACCCATAGTCCCATAGTATACAAGTCAAAGAGCCTAAATTTTTAATATCTATTTAAAAAATGTACGTTTCTGCATTGATTATAATGCTGTTAACATTAACAAACTTTGAAGTATCTCTAATGCAAGAAATACTTGCTTAAACAATTTTATTTTCAATATAAGCAACTGGATGCAAAAATCAGTTCGCAAGAACCAACATAGCCCGGAACAACAGTAATTTTGATTGATGTTAATTTCTAAATTAAAATGTATTTAGCCAGTATTTCTTGCATCAGAGATACTTTCAAGTATTTAAATGTTAACGGCATCAAAATCCACGTAGAAACGTAAACTTTTAATAGGTTTTAGACTAAAATTTACGCTCGTATTCCAAAGAACTGAATGCGATTTGAAATCAAAAATGACAAATGAATCATAAGTTGCCAATACGTATTTAATGTAGTCTTCCCTTGTTACAAAACTTACAAAATAACCTTGAATTATTTATTGCTAATTTCTTGCATTAGGTAAATGTTTATGATTCAAATTGATCATAGAAGTTGTACCCATAGAAGTAAAATTACCCATAGAAGCTTCACATATTACAGATGCCAGCGCTAGCAGCGGCAAACAAATGAACTACTTTATTGTCAGTATCTTCACTAATAATATAATAATATCGTATTCTGTTTAGGTCCGGTCTCTTAAAGTGTTCCAGCAACATATTTCCGATTACTAATTTTTTAAATGTATTAACTTGTGTTGCAGTGAGATATTGAATTGTTCGAATTCTAAACAAAGGTGGCACGCCCGTATTCAGATGCCAGCGCTAGCAGCGGCCATCAAATGAACTACTTTATTGTTAGTATCTTCACTAATAATATAATAATATCGTATTCTGTTTACGTCCGGTCTCTTAAAGTGTACCATTAACACATTTTCCATTACTAATTATTTACATTTATTTGTTTGTGGTGCAGCAAAATATTTCATTTTTTTTTCACAGTCGATGTAGCTACCAGCCTACCACGTGTTCTTGTGTGTGATGTCACCGCTAGCCATATCCCATATGTAAACAAAGCCATAGCAGTGAAGTTTTGCATTGAAATCGATGGTTATTTGTGAATAATATTTTCGATTGTGATATTATAAAATATTTCTGATTGTGAAATAATTTTGATTGTGATATTGACACTTGACAGTAGTGTCAACATTTGAACATCGAAGTTCTAACATCATGAATAACGAGGTAAAAGTGTAAGGACTGAGCAGAGCTAGAATCATGGCTGAGGCTTAACCGATGTCATTGTCATTTTTTACGTCATTGATATCATTCTGGAACCAACGTAAGTAACTAAGGAATTTCCCAGTTCAAATATTTATTGATTTATTTATATCAATTTTGAAACTCCACATATTTCTATTGGGAGTTGTGATGAGACCATGGGGTCGAACCGTTGAGTTTAGACCATTGCAAGTTTGCAACTTGCAAGAGGGGCCCAAGGGCCAAGGGCATGGGGCCTTGCAAAGGGTTAAGACCGCCGCACGGCGGTGGACCGATAAGTACTCACAATAATTCCCTGCCACCATGTTTGTAATTCATGTCTGACTGAATTGTGATCCATGAATAAATATGCATAAGCATAACTATGCTGACTCTTATAACCTTGGTGAACACATTAGAAATCTAGTCAACTAGATGTGATGTAGATATACTTTTGTATGTGATGGCATTGCTGCTGCGCTGCACATTCATCTTAAAATTTAAAACTTTTCAGAGCATGGTGCATGGTGCACTTTTTTACTGGCATATTACGGGATTTATGGCACTATTGGCACATGGTGCAGATTGATAAAATGACAATATAAATTCCTGTACATCTGGCACATCTTCCTGACCATGGACCATGGTGACAGACAGAGGCACAGGCAGGAGTTGCAGTAGCTGAGTAGCAGAAAGATAGGCCTACCTAGGTACCTACCTAGCTACTTTTCAGTTTTCACATCTGTCTAAGGAAGCAAGTCTAAAAAAATTTTCAATACATAACAATGATAACATTAACATATAACAAAAAATTGAGTTAAAATGCATTAAAATGAAATGACAAATGAATTTGTGAAAACTTTATGTGGTATTATTGCAGATTAACTACATCCAAAAAAAAGGTTTTTTTTTTTTAATTATATGTTTTTTGGGGTGTAGATTACGAATCTGAAATCCATTTTTGGCGGTCGGCATCGGAAAACC